TATATATATATATATATAGTTCCAGCCTGGTCTGCAAAATTAGTCTGTGCCTTTTAGATTTTTATCACTGTAAGTATAAGCAATACACTGCTATGTCTCAAGGCCTTAGCCTTTTAACTAATTAGCTCCGTTGCTGTGTCCTAAATGCATATTAAGTGTCTTTTGTGTATGTAGGCTACACACTGGAAACATGATTAATGAAGTCATACTTGAAATCTCAGCATGCATTTTTAAAATTACAGCCCGAGTGTGGTTACTTGATTTAAAATATTGATCATCAATAGTAAAGAAAGAATTGGAACTACACCAAGAGCTGGATAAAAGTGGGAAAATGTGGAGGGTGGAGCAAATGTGGCTCTGGTAACAGCTGACAAACAACTAAATGTATTGTTTTGAAGTTTGAAAAATGTCATTAAGTGACAAAGACAAAAAAAAAGGATCTCTGAGAAACTTTTTTTCCACTATTTGTGAAATATTCAGATTTAAAATGTGTTATTTAATCACTGTTGAGTATACCATCTGAACATAAAGACGCTTTGGGCCTCAACATGGCTGCCACAGGCTGGGTTATGTTGCTTGAAAGCCTGTTCTACCTGCAGGAAGACCACTTTGTCCTGGGTCTGTGAGAAGGCTTCCAGCTCGTTGCTCCTCCTCCTCAGCTGGCTGAGTTCGTTCTCCAAACCTCGGGCCAGTTCCTGTGCGTGACGCTCAGCATCACGTTGTCTTGTGGCGATCGCCTCCACCAGCTCCGCCTGACTCTGCTCCACCATACGCTGCAGCTCGGCGTACACCTGCCAGCTCTCCTCCAGTTCCTTCTGAGCACTGGCCTGCAAAGGAGGATGAAGAGGGGAATGTGAAAACGTATCGTAGAGCTGACAGAACCACCGTTAGTCCAGTGCAACTCAAGCAAATTGAAAGATCCCCTCCAGACATGTATTAAGATATATACTAATAGTCTGCTTGGAATGTCCCTACTTCACTATAAAATCAATTCTCACTGCATGTGCACTGGTGGCTTCATGTTTCTACATAACACTAATAAACTGTATAATAGACCAGGAAGCTCAAACATCCGACTGTAGGAACAACAATAAAAAACATATCTTAAACTTTAAGTTTAACTTAAAGTTTAAGATCAACTCAAAATGGAGTCCAGATAAAGAAATCCTCCTTTGGACCAGTTCAATTTAGATTCTTATGGTGGTGTAATAATAAATAAAAATCTGTGTCGTGGCACCTATAGTTTTAGACTTTTAAACCTGATTGAAAAAATATTAGCATTATCTTTTTGATCAAATAAGTTTCCACTCTACAACTAACTACTTTCTGTTAACTTATTTTAACATCTGTATTTGCTGGTTTCCTTGATTTAAAGCTGATAAGAGAGGGGTCTATTAAATAAACATCTCACAGAAACTCCCAGAAAAAAATTCTGGTGAGATCTTTTAAACTGAGGGTTAAAATGTTTCTATTTAATCTATGATTTGAAAGTGGATGGATCAGATCTCGGATTTTTGTCTTGTGTACAGTATCAGTTACTTTGAATATCCTTGTTGTTGAGGGTTAAACTTGCCTTGTCTCAAAGTGTCTGTTGCCTACATCGTTTTAATTAGAGTCCAACAAAATAACCTGTGAAATGCTGCAGTTTCAGTAACCACGGCTCTCTATCTTTATCCTTTGTTTCCTGGTTGGCTCACAAAGTGTTGCTTGTGCAACTGGATTAACAGGTTACCGCTTCCTGCTGCCAAGTGCAGGAAACCGAACTTAAGTTTCAACCTTACTCTTGTACTCTTGAGTTATGTTCTTATTCTCCAACCAAAGAAGTGACATCATACTGTATTTAAGAGCACAAAAAGATTCATGTTTTTCATTTGTTCCTTAATTTAAAGTTTATTTCTCTCACTCCTGTGTATGATTCCTCTCCAAAAGTCAAAAGAATCCAGTGACGTGTAATTGTGTTTATCTCCAAATCTATCAGTGGCATCAGTCAAACCCGCACACAGCAACATGCACATGTGCAATTGTGTATTTGTACACACACACACAACCCTCTGGTAACTTAATCCTCATTGTATTTGTAAAAGTAGATACAAATGTAACCAAGCAGGAAACTTAAACAGCGGCACTAAAGCGGGGATGTTTTGCTAATGAGAATAGTATATATATATATATATA